TAGCATTTAGGGTTTCTACTACCTTTTGCTCATTTTCCAACCAAATCTTGTACCCTTTTGTTCGTACACTGTACCCAATCAATCGGCCCTTCGTTGCCTTTGGATCAAGTTTAGAATTCCTTTTAGCCTTTGGAATTCCCACATAGGCAATCATTCCAAATGCCTTAAGATGACGTACTGATGGTTTCCGCTTAGTGTACATTCGAATGGGGTTCTATCTTGGCCCTTATGACAAATTCTATTAAATGAATATGCAAAATACATATTACTGCATCTGACCAAAATTCGGAACTCATTCCACTATCATGTAAGATTGCACGTACATTGTTGAGAGCTGTCTGATTAAATCTCTCACAAACTCCATTCTGTTCTGGAGTGTATACATCTGTAAATTCGTGCTTTACACCATTTTTATTACAATATGACCTGAATTGATCATTATCATATTCTCGCCCATTGTCAGTCCTAAAGTATTTCAACTTAAGGTTCAAAGATCTTTCCGCACGTGCTATATGCCTTTCAAATACTTCAAACACCTGACTTTTCTCCACAATGGGGTACACTACCACGTAACGAGAATATTCGTCAATAAAGGAAACGAAATAACGTTCACCTATTCCTACCTGGAATGTTAATAGGTCCTCATACATAAAAAAAAAACCCTTTCAAGCGGTCTCTTTACTTGAATACCTTCTAAGGGTCTATAGGAGATTCATTTTTGCTTATTGATTTGGCAATGTTCACAAAACAAATTAGGTGAGTGCTTTAACACAGGAAGACCTCGAACTGAATGTCTCTTACTAGTCCTGACAATAGCACCATAATTTATATGACCAAACCGACCATGCCATAATTCACTATTATTATGCTGAACTGTGGATGCCTCAAATTTTACAGATTTGCCCCCCTTTTTGACTATTTTTCGGGAATACATGATAGTTACTTCCTATCAACTTAGCCTTTGTACAAAGTTTCATTTTTCATCATCAGTAACTTTAATTTGCCCATTTTTTACCATAAAATCTTGCTCCATTGATATCCACCCTAGGTCCAGATATTAAATTTCGTCTCAGTTCAGGTGAGTATAACACATCTTTAAGCAAAAATAACCGTATCCCCAAATTTCATTTTAACAGTACCCTTCCCATGAATTGGAAAAGTTACCCCATCAATAGCTACTAGCATATTCTCATTTTTCACAGGAGGAAAAGTATCAAACAATTCACGATTTTTACAAAAATGATGAGATGCAGCCGTATCAAATATCCAACTATCATCATTTTCCTCCAAATTGTTAACATTAGCTTGAGCTATAAAATGGGACTGAGCATGGGAATTATTTTTACCTTTACTCAACTTGGGTTTATTCTTACACTTAGGAGATGCTTTATTACTACTAGATACAGCTGAGGAAACAGAAGAAGCAGGTGAGGGTGATCTGGAAAAATTACCTCTCATTCTACAGTAATTTTGAATATGACCTAGACTGCCACATTTATAACACTTGAGCCCTTTAATCTGCTTAAATTTGTGTTCACAGTTAGTACCTTGGACTTAGAATTTTCCCTATCTATCTCTCTTAAACCAAGACGCGTTTCCTCTGCTAGTATTTCAAGTTCAACATTTTTAAATATGAACTTTTCATCTGGCCACCTCAAAACATTCTGAACTACTTAATCAAATTTATCTGGAAGGAACCTAAGAAACTGGAAACATATATACGTCTCTTACACCCTGATTAATATCAGCTAATTGTTCAGTTACGCGTTTTAATCTAGAAGAAAAGAAACTAATATTTTCATTTGGCTTAATTTTACAATTTAAGAACTCTGAAAACAGGGACATACGTCTCGACCGATAATCTGGCTGGAAGTATTTGGCAAGCGTATTCCATGCCACTACCGGGTCATCAATTTCACATATAAGTTTCTATATTCAGGGCTTACATTCATATAAATTAACGATAATGCCAATCGACTTCTATTTTGATAGTCGGCAATAATTTCTTTTTGTAATACCCTTAACATCATTTAAATCAGGACATTTTTCAATACCTTTAACCAAAAGCCATGCATTTTTTTTCATTTAAAACAAATTTCATATCTTTGGACCATGTAAAGTAATTAAATGCCTCAAGTTTAGCAATATTATGCATGACACTAACAGTAGCCATATTTGAATTTTAACAAAAAACCGTCCCCCAATCTCTTAAGTCCTAGATTAACTTTAAACTTCAAAAGTCTGCACTAAAAATATAACTCAGGGGCTGGTGGCCCATAACCAAAATGATGCTAAAGCAAAGCTTAAAGTTTAAAAAAAATTAAGCATTTAACAGTAGTAGCAATAAAAGCTCCCTGAGATATCATGTTGTGCAGACATTGAAGACAATAAAAGGTTTTGAACTTAACCAATTTATTAACAATATAATAAAGAATAAAAACACAGAAAAAAAATTTCAACAATATCATAGTCTTAGGGAAAATATAATATAACCATCATTCATCCAAATAATATTTTTACCTGGTCTCCAAAACACTGGCATTCAATACAAACAAAAATGTACTAAACATTAATTATGTGGCCTAAAAGTGAAGTTGGCTACACATTCAACATCACTTTCGTTTTTGCATCTTAATTAGGTTGAAACAGTCCGTTCTCAATGCAAACAGTGGCAGTAAGAAAAAGAAGTAGAAGTAACTACTATACTACATTAAAATAAGAACTAAACTAAATAAACATTTCAAGGAGGAGAGATGATGCAGTAAAAGGTTTACAATAAGTTATATTTTCAAACATTATCCATTTTTTGTAGCAGTTTGTTTTTTGTTTAATGGACATCGAAACATACTTTCGTTTTCTAGATCGTTGGGAGCTCCAGCATCGGAAATTCTATTTGACATAATCGAAAGTTCAAGCTTACTTTTATAAAATTGCACTTACAGTCTGCAAAAAAATAATAAGCCGGATCCAATTCGAAGATTAAGGAACAACGCAATCATCAACATTAACTGAAATAGATAATTAGATAAATTTAGCTTATACCGTCCGTTGTACTTTAAACGCGCACGCGACAACATATTCTGCGCTTGCGCAGTCATAAAGTCTTGCGCGCACGCGTAAAACGTCTATGAGCATGCGTCAACGCGGCGCATGCGCAGAAAGATTTTAGCTTTGAGGTCCGGATTATAGATCCTTCCGGATTATGGGTGTCCGAATTAACGACTTTTGACTGTATCAAATGGTGTGCTGAAGCTTTTAATTGGTCTTCACAAACCACTAAATTTACATATAATGTCCTCAATGGAATAAATACTGCTTGACCTTGATTATTCGGATAAGAAGGTCCTTCTCCCATCCAATTTATTGCATGGAATACAACAGGAAAACTTTCACTGATTTTCTATATATATATATCATATAGGGTGATTTAGAACTCATGTGACAAACTTTATATGGTATATCTAATGAATGGAACTGCCAATGGTAACAGCATGGTCAACTTAATAATTTCTGTACTTTAAAAGTAGACTGAACTAATGAGTATATCTCAAGAATTCAAAACTTTTATTATTACATTTTTAAACAGTTCACATGACATTCAGCTAGCACAGTAACACGTGCATCACAACAACAGAATTGCATAGCATGAGTGTCATTAAAGTTATAGTTATTTACAGTTACGGTTATAGCTGTAGTTTTTTTTAATATACATCACAGATGGTAGGTCTACCTTTCTCGATGGCATGGCTGAATCTTTCGACAGTATGCTGTTCTTACATTTTTATATCACACAGGTCCTCTGTAGGTACTTAACACTGCGAATATGACTTAAGCCCACATTCCTTTAAAAATTAAAAAGTCATGCATTCCCATAGCTATTTCATTGTGTAATTACTAAACATTAATTTTGCTTCTTTCTGTGAAAAAAAATTTGGCTTAAAAGTTTTTTCGCAAGTAAAACAAGAAGCTTTCATAAAAACAAAGTGGCTGAAAATGAGTTTTTTAAGTGGGAAATAGCTGTTCATGGATAAAATTTAATCGTAAAATATTTTCTCACTTTCCTTTACCATACCATAGCATCATCAAAGAATTTTTATTTCAATTTATGGAAATGGAGTTGATATGAAATAGTGATAAAATAGAGCATGGCAAATTTCTAGGAAAAATTACATCATTACCCATTCAATTTGATGATAAAATTTCTTTACCCACAGCTCTAAATTACGAGAGTATTTCGAAAAGTAAAGATACAATGGCTCGCATTCCTTAAAAAAAAAAAAAAATTTACTTTGAAAGAGTCAGTTGCATCTTATTAACTGGATTATTTATTATTTTTCGACATAATCACCCCCATTACCCAAACATTTGTTAAGTCGGTGCACAAGCTTTTGTATCCCACAGTCACAGAAGCTGAACGACCGCGAGGAGAAAGCTAACGGTTCAAGGTTTAAGACCTGTGTTGAGAACTTGCTCACCAAAACTTTTTTTTTCCCTCTGACGTACGGTGTATCTTTACTTTTCGAAATGCTCTCATACTTTCGAACAGTAAATAAGAAAGGCAGAAAAATTTAACATATTCATCGCAAATCAGTAACTGAAAATAATAACGGTAACAAAACCTCGAAGTATGGAAAAACATGATGCTAAAGTCATGCATAAAAAAGTTAGTAAATTTTACGTTGACATTTTACTGATTACTTGCCTTTCTTAGTTCAATATTAATTTCCCTCTACTTCATGCAGAACAGGCAGAAGCATGTAATAAATCACGTGAAAATAGAAAGCAAATAACCACCAACAAAAGATAAGAAATTTTCATCATATACAGAACATTAAATTTTCTCTAGCTTATATTTTGACCAAACCCACATTGTCAGACAGATATACTTTCTTTTATATTTCTACAGAAATTAAAATTTTAATTTAAAATTAAAGTCTACATTCTGAATGTATTGATTTTCTTTACTTCGTTCTCACAGTTTCAATAATATTTAATCTTACCTGACCAATTTCTTTTAGTAGTGTTGAAAGCACAATGAAAAATCCTGAGGAGAATCCTAATAAAATATATCCTTCACTATGCCTGGTAAAATAAAAATTTCTATTTTTAACAATTTCAAAAAGACTTCAAATATACAACGTAATCCATAATATACTGATTTAGATAAGGCATTTAAGGAAATGATTCTGCAATTATTAAGAAAAGTAGCAGCAAAAATTCTAATGCTCCCATAATTAACAAAAATATCACAGTGAATGAAATGCCTTTAAAATTTATATAACAACAGTGGTTTTCTATTTAATTCCATTAGAACTGTTTATAGTTTCACTTTAATGTTTCATATTGCAAAAACATTAAATGCAGTCTCTTTCTTAGCATTTTATTAAATCATAATTATATAAATCAGTGGTATTCAAACTTCTTGGCAGTGTAACCCTGTTTTGGACACCAAAGTAACATGCTAACCCAAAAGTTAAAACAATCAATAATCTAATTAATTTTACTCAAAAACTAGCACTAAATAATACTAAAAATCGGGAAGTTGTTAATTTATTTAGTTTTATTTCAAACATTACTGTCAAAGCAAGTATAACAAACTGAAAATCAACTCCGTAGTTACCAAATATTTAGGTGAAAAATCGAGTAGCATTAATCACTTATAAATTAAAATTAAAACATGGCATATAACACATAGGAACTTTAAAAAAAAAAAAACAATTTACAAAAGGTCAGTCTAGAAAATGAAAATAGTTAATCAGACCTATGAGCCTCTTTCTTGTTTACAAGTAGTGGTATTTCTGGCTCTAAGTAGTGCAATTTAAATCTGATGTTAATTTGCTTCAGTACTTAGATTTCAGACACAGAAATTGGGAAAATATCATCATGCACATATAAGATGAGGGAAATTGTAATAACACCTTAAAGCTGCATCAGACAGTTCTGAATATTCACTTCGAACGTTAAGACAAAAATTTTGATTTTGAATTTTGATAACAAACATTTTGACTCTCCATCAGATGATGAATCATCAATCAGTTTTTGATCTATGAGATCAATTTTTTGCTAAAATAAAATGATAAATTTTTGGGTAACACACACTGAAAGGGATTTTGAATCCATTCAGAGTCAGAAAAATCTTCTGGAAAATAAGGTTAAATTGGATTTAAAATCTGTGAATTGAGTTGTTATATCTGTAATAATCGACTAAACAACTTTTAGTTTGTTTTCCACAACAAAACTCTCTAAAGCAGGAAATGTTGCAAAATTATTTCCCTGAAGTAGGAGAACCACAAATCAATTTTCTTCACTTTCATTTTATCATTAGCCACAAATGTATTTAATTTTATGCTTTGAAAACTTAAATTTAACTTACTGAATTTGAGAAAAATATTATTTATATATGCTAACCTACATAGCCATTCTTCATCAGTTAAAAAGTTTGTTTATCATTATCATCTAAAAATGCAAATTTATTAAATCATAATTATAGATATATATATTAATCCACAAATCATCTGGTAAGTATCCTACCCCTCGAAAGCCAACCCAACACTGTATACCAAAGAAATTCCTGATGTACATTTCTTATTAATCCACAATTTTGCGAAAAAAATCCTTCAGCTTAGAGGACACATCTTCATAAAATTTACTTTTAAACTCTAATATCTAAGAATGATCTTAAGTTCGGCAACATGTTTTTCGATACAAGCATTTCTCCATGAATCGTACAAGGAACCCATGTTACACTGGGAGAGATTTCTTTAATTTGGGCTAGAAGTAACAGGTGTTTTCCTACTATTACATACCTCCATCACTGCACACCCCCGTACAGTTTCCAAAAGAAATATTATTTCTTGTAATACTTACCAATTTAAAGATTTCTTCTCCCATAGTCCTTTGCAGTTCCTTGCAAAAAATGAAGTTTCAACAACTTCATTTTTTTATTCATATATTGCAAAACAAATCAGTTGCATAGTGTTTTGGCAATCAGTGGATTCATCGAACTGAAGACAGAAAATTGTATTTTTTGAATTCTGATTACAAGTTTGTTTTCCACATTATCTGCCATTCATATATTCTGCGACCAATTGTTGTATCACAGAGTAGTTATTTGATATATATTGCTTTTTGTTTTCGCCAAACATGATGCCTTCTATATCCTGGGCTGCTAGATCTGCTGGCTCTTTGGAAATTGTATACAGCTTATTAGTTTTAGCTAAACAATAGCTCACTTTGTAAGAAGTGACTAAGGCTTTTTTGTTAATATTGATAAAATTAGGCAACATTTTGCTTATGTTTTATATGCCCTATTTTTTCTGAAAAAAATTCAATGATTTTATCATTGCATTCACTGTGCTTGATGTGTTTATTTGCAGTTTATTTGTCTTCAGCGATTTATTTGACAGTACTGCCAGGCACAGAAAGCATGTAGCCATTGGTCTGTCACTTTTAGTCACTCACCAAAATCATTTTTATGAATTGATTGTCAAACTTACAAACCCTTTTCTACTTCTTTATATCTCGACTCTGTACTAGAAGATTCCAAACATTCCAAAACAAGTCAGTGTTGGATGTTAAAGTAGCCAAAATCGAAGTATCCCTCTCGTCATGTTTTCCTTCACTGTGTTTTTTTCAATTATACTATCAATTTTTAGCCACTTTTTCATGAGAAAACATTAAATTTTAAAATTTAAAAGCAGTCTGTTAAACACAAATACCAAGTAAATACAAAATTTTACACCAAAATAATAATTAAACTCACAAATGTGCCACATTAAGGGTAAGTAGAGTCTGTGCTCTTATCTCTTTGTTATGTGCACGTCCTTTTAAAACAAATATAATGTTACTGTCTATCTACCAGGAAAATCTTATCACCATTATGTCTAGTATTAGTAAGTGGTGGTCTCTATAGCAGCAAGGCTAGTATATTTCATGTAAGAGTGAGCCAAGTCAATGTTCTATTGTTATTTTGTTTTTGAAAAATGTTGGCTGCACGAAAGAGGAATAGAGAAAGTCAGTTTGTCATTAAGTACACCAAGATGGGAAACTGAAAAACGATTCTTTAAGACACATCTACAAAAAATGGGTTATGGCTTGTTTCTGTGATAACAGACAGGTGCAAGCAATGAGTCGAGAGCTGTTCTTGTGATAGTCAGGCAGTACATGATGTCTTAGGCATATCCAGGCCAAACTAGGTTTTAGAATAACGATTTCAAAGCGATAGACTATCTCTTTGAAGTTATCTTTATAAAAATACAGAAATCTCTCAATTAAATAAAATTCACACTTTAAAAACCAAATTTTTTTCTTAAAAAGTTTTTAATGATGTATTTGTATTCAATTAAATTTATTTACAATTTTTTCATCCACCTTGCAATCAAAAATGCGGTCCTGAACCATAGATTAAACACCACTGATTTAGATTAATAAATTTATTAAAAACAAAACTCATTTAATAAATTTATTAAAAACAAAACTCATTAGATGCTGTTTTTAATAAAAGGATTGCAAGACAACTGATTTACCATAAAATACTCACCAACAATAATCAACAACACTGCCATATTTCTCTTGAAATGATAAAATAATAGGATCTTCTGGATCATGTATATTCAACAAAAAGAGAGATTTCCTGTTCAATATCAGGCTCACCTGGGGGGAAAGAACGACTTTATTCGAAATGAAAGTGAAACAGAAATTGAATACTTCACAGAATCATATGGATCAATTTTAATACCTGAACAGTGCAATCAAAACTGCACCTATTTAATTTTGCTATGTACCATTAAATTTTACCTTGCCAAATTTTTAAACAGTACTTATGCATTTTGCTATCAACAATTTTTAACAATGTTCTCAAACGGTGCAAATGAATTGGATTTTTTTAATTTCAAAAATCCTTCCATCTTTAAGAGCAAACTGTTCCAGCATGTTTTAGAATCTAATATTAGCATAAGTTATTTTTTCATTTCAGTAAGTATATATATATTTATTTGTAAAACAGCATTTTTAGTAGGCGAACATTTAAATAGCTTAGCAGCTTTTCGAGTTTCCTTAATTATACGAAGCAATCTTTGGTAAATTAAACTCATTACCATTACCTTCTTCATATCCAAATAAGGTACTTTCAACAACTGCATTATTACTTTAGTTTAAATATCACGCTGAATAATAATCAAAAACCAAGTCCAACATTAAGAATCAGCATAATTTTTTTTTTTTTTTTTATTTACGCTGATTCTTAATGTTGGACTTTGTTTTTGATTGCATTATTACTTTCTCCATTATCCCTCCCTTCGAAGTCAGAATCGGACATTTCTAAATCCAGAGTACTTTGCTTCTGCTCTTGATTTTTTTTATTACTCCAAGCTGAATTATATAAGCAGAGCAGAATTGCTGATTTGCATCAATCTGTTTCTCAATTTTTTAAATCACCGTTGCCCCATTAAGAGTTATGCACACCAAATCTTCTTTTATAGATAATTCATAGTCCTCCATTTTTCAGTTCTTCTAATCATTTTGTAGCTGGCATCCTTCCCAAGACATGTGCGAGTCCCACATTCCAATTTTTCTTTTCTGAATGAATATTTATATTTAAGTAATGTATATTTCATAGTTCATTCACCAAAAGTAAAATTAAATTTTGTGCCATTTAATTTTAATTCTGTTAATTCTTTTTTTAATTGTGAACCCTGTTACTACAGTTTACAACAGTTCTTGTAGTATTAATAGATTTTGGTATATTTTTGAAACCTCTTGCAATTAATGAGTTTCTAAGTTCAACTGAAGTACAAAACACTCTGAACAGCAAACCTAATGCTGTCAGTATAGATAAAACAGTCATTTTTTTTCCCTTCCAAAAAATAATAAATAAATAAAAATAGTTTGTAATGTACTTGGTTTCGTAATGTGATTTTTAGCTGAGTTAGAATTTGTCACAGATGTTTTTCTTAATCAATTAAAGTTATGTTGCAATTTATATGTGTGTATAGTCCACTTGTATTTCCTCCAAAAACTTTAATAACCCTTGAAAATGTTTTGCATCCTGCCAGCACATATTCTTTTTCCTCATAAGAATAAAACCAAGCCAAAATATTACCAGCAGATTTTTTTTACGTTCCCTGAAGTCATTATAGATAAATAAAACTCAGAACATATATGTTCCAAATACAGGTATTTTGAACAATAAAGTATAATACAAAATGTTCACTTATTTTTGAAAAAGAAACTCACAAATTAAAAAAATATCTAAATGTTTAAAAATTTAAAACACTACGCACAATTTCACTACAACCATCATTGAACAAAGTAGTTTTGAATAAAGGATTCCTGAGTAGCACTACCCTATCCTAGCAAATGCAGGAATCACTTTTTGAATATTAACTTAGCATTATTCAAGAGAAACGATCAACTTGAAGATCATACAGCAAACACAACGAGGCTACTCTGAGGTGCTGGAGAAGAAACTGAGATCTGAACATTCCGGTGAAAGCCAGCTGTAGTCAAGTGACATGATGTCAAGTTTGGTTTCATACACACTTCATACTTGACCTTGACACTGAGCAGACAAAATTTTTAGAAATTAGAGAAGCACCAATAAACAAAATTAAGGGATGGCAAAATCTTTAGAGTTTAGGGAGATGCTTTGCAGCAAAATTTCGGATCTGCAGAGACTGCACTGGGCCACAAAATGCATTAGCTCTGGCCCTGGATTACCATATAGTATATGTGAGAATTTTATTCAGGACTGAGATAAGCTTCAGTATGTACAGGAAACAGTTGTAAATGTGATAAATAACTGAAATAATATAATTTAAACTTAACTTCGTCAGCCTGCAATAGAAGCAAGACAAAATTTAATGGAACAACATGACTTCAGTCGTCAATCTTAGGATACCTTGCCAATAATGCATAGTGGACACTTAGTTAAGATTTACGGAAGCTACAAATTTGGTTTTCAGATATTGAAAACAAGAAATAAACTTTTCCAATGAATGGAATTTGCAAAAATATGGTGAAGTGGTAATAATGATCATATGACAGAAATTTTTCATTGTGATGACAATGCCTCAATAATTAATCAACTAATGGACCGCAAAATCTGTAGTACGGTTCTAAAACCAGAAAATTATCACTACCAATAGTGAAGAAAGTAACAGAGAAGATGTTGTGAGTGAAAAAATTTTGATAACTGGATTTGAAGAGCTTGTATTTATATAATTCAAATAAAATTAGGTAAAGCAATTTGGAACAGAAACACAATGATAAAAAATTTTTAATTAGTCCAAAAATAAAAATTAAACCTTAGGTTTGTGTAGATTTTGAATAAAATTTCGAGACTGATGAACCAAATTCACCAGAAGTCAATATTTTTATTCAAAATCTAGGCTTTCCTAATTTTTTTATTTAATTAAAATAAAAAAAACAGTACTAATTGTGATTTTTCTACGTTTTCTACTAGTTAAAACATGACTTTTTGCTCATTTTCGCTACTTACCAAGTCATAACATATGCTTTAATAAGATGCTGTCTAATTTTGTTCACTACATATATGCATCCAAGAAATCGATTTTATTCCAAGCAAATCTGAGAAAACCACAAATTATTTTAGAAATGTGTTTTTATAAAGCCAGCTAAACAGATTGACTCCATGCTCAACACTTAATTGGATCCAAAATGTAACTGCTAGCGCTATAGAGTATTACTTTAAATTAAGCAATACAATGGCATTTCTTTCCTTCTGGCTTGCCTCAGATTCATTGTAACAACTATAAATGTTGCTCGAAGCCTAAAATTTTCTAAAACCCCGTAATCCCCTTTCTGTGGTGATGACAATGTACTTTATAGGAGAACAAAGGAGAGAAGGATAGCTATGACCTCAGGTGCCTATTTTAAACTAATAGGATATAAGAATTGTAGGCAGTAAACATGCTATGAAAGCAAAGTCACAGATAATTTACAGCTAGTTCCATACATCAACACAAAATAAAGGAGGTCTTTATTTTGTGTTAAATATGAAAGTAGCAATATTGAGTCTTACAGAGAGAGTTACAACTCAATAAACAATATTCAGTACCATAAGCACACATAATGAATGGTTTCTATGATTTGTGTGTGCAGTAGCTAAGATTTTATGTACTTTTTGAAAAAAATTACCCTAGCTATTTGCTATGGCAATCATACTTCGCAAAATATGACTAATTAAAAGCTTAATCCTTGAATCCAAAGGGGAAATTATGATCAACTCTCATTCCAATCAGTACTTGTTATAGTAATAATCCAATTACAATGACTGGTTAGCAAATCCTCAACCGATATGACCTAAGAAATGTAACCGCCAGTTGCTCTGCATTTAAATCCTTTTTTGTTATCGTAACCACTAGTTATGACATTTTTTTTTTTTCCAGAATACAAGACACTATAATTGAATTAAAAATGAACAACTAGGCTGGTCTATCTCAAATAGTTACTGAATATAGCATGAAAAATAATACCTTTTCTTCTTGTTTCAAAAGATAAGACTCCATCCTGAAATAAAGCAGCAAAGAAATATTTCTTAAAGGACAGAATCAAGGGGAAAAACAGTAGCACATGAGAATTTATGGCTAGTTCCACTGTTATGGATAAAAGATGCATAAGCAAGAAACCTGCTGAAAACTGAACCTACTCTGGAAGCTAAAGTAAATGAATTTGGAACAGTTTATTGATATCATTAAATTCAAATGTAGGAAGATTAAATTCAGAAAAACTATCTAATCTAATTACTAAGTTTACCACTACATGTGTTTAATGTGGATTAATTGGGCTTTACTACGGCTTGCAAAGGTGATAATACATATTAACTATAAAGATGAGATGTCTGTAATGACATTTGCCACCATGGGATGGAAACAAGATACTTAAATTGCTAATTATCAGTATGACTTATAATTCACGATGCTTTAAAGGCGTTCCACAAATGTCGCTATCAATTATATTCCAAGTACATAACTTTGGGTGACATGTTATCTTATTGATGTCTGTATCCTTTCCTTCAAATTGAACATCATCATTCAGCCAATGGACATAGGAGCACTGCAGATTTGAAATGCAGATATAATGCAGCCTTTTTAAAATCCATGTTATATTTTCTGGCTAGACAAATTTATTAAATACTTTGACAATATGTCTGCTGTGTGGAACATTGCAAGATGATGGGAGGATGTGTCTGGAGATATTTTTAAAAATAGCATAATTTATGGCCAGCTACCATATTTCATGGTAACAATGATGACAGCACCAAATTTGGAGGTTTTTCAAATATCACAAATAAAAGATGAATTTCTAATCAATGGAATTTGTGATGACATGTGAAGTAGAGATAATAAATTAAAATAACATAGCAGAAGTTTTCAAATGGGATGACAATGCCCTAAACATCAGTCAACTAACGGACAGTAAAATCTGAGTAATTTTAAATTCAGAATATATTGTTAGTGACAGTGAAAAAAATGAAAAACAGGTTATTGAGAATGAAAATATTTCAAATTGGTCATTTAGTGGAAATTCTGGTCAAAGTAAATTAAGAAGGTATTAGAAAAATTAATAAATATTAAGCATTTTAGGTAAATTTTGATTCCTTGATTTAATTTTTATGTTTATGATATACTGATCAGGCTGACCTCTTTTAGCAGGGTACAATTTCAGCATTGCAATTTGTTTCTGTTTGTACTACGGAGGATTCACAACTGCCTATGTGAATCAACCTAAAAAATTAACTTGGGAATATGCGGAAAATGATTTTAACTTTGAAGCAGCAACATGACACAACATATTTTAATAATTAAATAATACAGCAGATCACACTAGTGATTGTTGCAAACCCACATGCTGTAATTCCCCCAAACTAAGAAAAAATTCCATGTTCAGTAGCAGGCTGCGCCCTTGTTTTTTATACTTCCTTTCTCTTATATCTCCCTTCTTTCAGACAGGATCTATCAACATATCTTTAGTAAGTTCAGCAGCAGGCCCATGAACAGCTTTCCTGAATGTAAGCCCACCTAACTGTTTTTTTAGAAGCTGTTGACCAAGTGGTTAGAAATATAACCAACAGATGCTAATGCACAGGCACTAACCAAACCAAACTTAAGAATCAGAATTATCTCAGAGACCAAATTTCTTTTTTAATGATAAAAGTACACATACAAAAGTGATTAACTCTTAAATAATTAATACCTTATTAAAATTTAAAAGTTCAGGCACTAATATTTAAATGTAAATAGCATGAATATATTTACATACAGAAAAACATTTTTATCATTTGAAACTTTTAACAGAACAAAAAATAATAGTAATCAATTACTGAATAACTGGTCAACAGTGGCAGATTTTGCTTTCTCTAAAAAACCATTGTAATCTTATCCAAACTCCCAAGTATGCCTACTTTTGCTAAAAGAAATATCCATGTACTCATGTGATTAAGAACACTGGCCTTCCACCACACAAAATCATAATAATAACAATAATAATAGTAATTATAATAATAAAACACAATAACAAAATATACACGTGGCAAACATATTACAGACTTGAACAAATAGTTGAAGAAAAGTTCATTGTGTACAATTTGAGAAGGAGAAAAAATTTCCATACACATTAGCATGATAAAAAATCACAAATGCTTAAACTATTATTTTTCGATGCGTATGAAACTCACACTTTTTACCTATGGCAGAATGTAAAGAACAGCCTCGATCTTGCTTTGTGCTGACTCCCGAACAGAAGCATGATGTTTTCAAACACACATTATGACATGGCCCTGCTTTACTTTGACAGCTATTCTGGAGGATGGGGAACATCAAAGAATTTCAGTCACCAGAAATAATGTTTTGAGGACCAAGGCGTTGGGTTACGGAGTAACTTTGCTTAATTGAGCAATTACCTCAACATCACTGTTAAGATATATGAAATAATTAAGAGAAAGCATTGGCTAAAGAAACGAGAACGAACTGTTACGGGTTTAAAGATCAACAGTTGAATAAGAAGCCCCCTAATAGGAAGAGAAAAGAAATCCACTACGCTTTTACCTGAGATAAGAGCAGAAGATGAACCCTTGCCGAGGTAATTGTGCAGTGAATAAGTGATAAATGGAGTGAAGGATAACTACCTGAATGGCAGAAGAACAGGTTGAAAAAAAAATGAAGTGGGAACAATGGCAAGTTTCAGGTAAGGTTAAGGTAAGCGCAAAGCCTGCGAAAATTGCTAAGTGCCTTGGTTCGGTGGTTGGGCGGGGGGTCACTGACGTAAGAACAGGCTGCGGGGAGAAAGAAGTTATGTGAGGAGATGAGTCAGCTGATTTAGTTCTGCTTTCGGAAAGAATAATCTGAATTAGTCTTTAGCCATTCTGACTAAAGACTAATAATAAGAATAAGGTGTGTAATGCATGGTGTTTGCTGAGATGAATTTATTTATTCTAAGAATAATTTAAGGTGTTGAATGAATAGCTGCATTAAGTTAAAAGTTAAGTTACATTAATATTTTAAGTAAAAATTAATTTACTTGTTGGAATTTGCAAATAACAAAATATTAAGATACATATTTATTGTGAGAACTTTTAAGAATAAAAGAAAATAAAGGGAAGAAATGTGCTGTAAATCAGGTTGCCAGGAACACATTCAAAAATCAGGAGCCTCCTGCCTAAATTGGGAGACAGCATATCTGATAATGAAGACAGTGAATGCTTTCAGTTTATTTGAAGCATGTGCCAAAGCAGCAAGCTGAAATCAGTAGCACGCATGCAGCTCAAATAAGTAAATGCAATTTTCACAAAGCAGTAAATACACATGCACAGAGAATGAAAAGAAATATTGGAATAAAGTGTATGGATGGAACCTTGAAGGTATCACCGATCTCAGATATATCACAGTAAGACTGAAAGCAGAAGTTAAAAAACAGGCATGGAAGGCAGTTAATGAAATGGAAGTTAGGCAGGGCTGCTACCCTTGTACTCACAAGAAGTATATTCTAAAAGCTGAATGAAAATTTGAAAAGAGCATTACAAAACATTTTACATTTTTAAAAAAGCTATACCAACAGAACTGTTGATTAAAAGTACTTCAATGCCCTTTAACCTTTTGGTTTCTTCTCGAATATAAAATGCATTGTGTGAAGTGGTGAACTAAAAATTGAATGGAAAAGAGCTTTGATAAGTCCAAAACTTCATAACCGACTTATTTATTCTAAAAATTCAATGCACATTAAAAATAAAAAAATATATTTTATTTTAACAAAAAAGAATACTGGAAAACTTACAGTGGTTTCACCACCCCCAGGTGCATCTTGCTTCATGGATGAAAACTGCACTTTGGATGGATCGCCCTTCAAATGAGTTCTATACATAGTGTCACCATCTGCATTGCTAAGGGTAAATGTTTTATCACTGGCTACCAGAGCAAGATAATTTTGCTGACTCCAGGAACCATCAGTGATCTGTTTGCTATGCTTTCCCAAGATAGATACTTTTCTAAGTAGATAAACACATGCTTAATGAAATTATTACAAGATTTTAAAAATTATTAATACTTGCATAACAGTCTTACTACAACCATATTAAAATATAAGTATTACATAAAATCAGAAAGAATTAAAATTTAGAACAGCTTCATACTGCACATTCAGTACAAGATATCATGCATGCAAAGTTTAAATTACTTCAGAGACATGGAATTCAATATTTATACATGGCTCTACTAGATTATGACAAAGAGCACTAGGGCTATCTGCCTGAGGTGAGAGAAGTATTCATAGATGACTTTCAGAAAACTTGCTCTATTCCCACAATATGTACGAAAAATGATAAAGATACTCATTCAGCCAGCTCATTCCCTGGGATTAGAACCAAGGTCAAACTAACAATGTTCAGTGGTCTTACCACCTAGTCACTAGCATGCATAATTTTATAATCATCTTTGTTTCACAGACTTCAACAAGGAATTTTCCTTACAGCAGCTAATACTACATATGAATATGCAAACAAGTAAGCATGTACCACTTATTCAAAGTTCATACTCATAGAGCACAATCTATACACATACATGTACCCCGTTTTTCTTTTTTTAAATTAACATTATACAGAGCAATCTGTAGCTCTATCTGTCAGCTGAAATGCTACCAAATTTCACAGGAAGGCTAATGACGACATATGAGAAAGAAGTGAAAAAACATTTAGTTCCAATAGGAGAACATATGGTACTGTTCTAATCTACACAGCAGAGAAATTTCAGTGCAGTACCACTTCAATGCAGCAAATGAGCTTTCCCAAAGGATTACAGAAAAGATATTTTAGTGCTACACAGCACTTTATTCAATGAAAGTGCTTTCTCGGCAATGGTATAGATCTCTTACAATGTGACCATCCTTCTTCTATATTACATTCTGTACATAACATTTTCGATAGCCAAATGTAACATGTCACAAGGAATGCTCAGCACAGCCTGTGATATGTTGCCCTTTAAGGTCATCAAGATCAGGACCCCCATAAGACAGCTGATAGTTTAATCTGGGATTGAATTCTAAGAAGCGAGCTGTCTGCAAGGTTGGTTTTTGTGGTTTTCTTCATATATATGTAACATGGAACAAGCTTTTTCCCTTAAAAAGACCTCTTAGATATTTCCTAAGACAATCTTACCTATAGGCAGATAGTCCTCAAGTTGCTTTGGCTTAACCAATTAACCTAACCTAATCTAACCCATCAAGATAGATCTTGAACTTCAAATTACCTGCAAAAAAGGCCACTTTGGCTTAGATAAAGAGAGAGGTGGACACGCACGTGTAAAAAAGCAATTTATGACCCTTTCTTCTGTAAATTGTTGGGGCAAAAGCCACTGTACCAACACACCAATGCGCGATGGTCCTCGAGTCTTCTTATAATTCCCTGATATAGCAACTGCTTCTGCTGAAGTTGTGGGATGACAAAACTACTTAGCATATTCTTCCCCTTTGCATAGTAATGGTACAGGTGTGTGGTCCTGTTAGAGCAATGTTCTCAAAAAATAATAATAATAATAATAATAATCCACTAAAGAAATCTGTTGTGAAGCCACACCAAAGAGCGACTTTTGGCGAATGCAGTGGGATTTCCTGAAGCATGGAATCGTTTGGATGCCCAAATTCAAGAATTCTGTGCATTAACAGTCCTATTTAGGTGAAAATGAGTCTCATCTCCTTTCAGAATTCTCCATGGCCAAGCAGCATGAACCTCTATCCTAGCAAGAAATTTCATAACAAATGCCTCCTGTTCATCATAATAATTGTGTTTTAATTCCTGCACACGGCTCATCTTTATGAGTAAAAGTGAAAAAATTTCTGAAAGCTTGCCATACCATTAAAAGATCCCAAACCAGTTATTATACTATTCCTCAGGTGCAACTTCTACACCTGCAATGGTCCCATAGGTGCTGTCAATGACTGCAGTCACGACATTAGAAACAATCTATTTTCACACTGGTTTCTGTTCTCTACCAAACTGCTAAGGATCCTGATTCTTCAAACTTCTGAATCATGCCTTTCAATGCATTAATTAATGGAGGTCATCTATGAAAGTTGTTAAAACTTCAAAACTCATGAACAGCAGCGGATATGTTTGGCTGATAAAGATAACCACAACTTTATAAGTAACATGTGCTGAGGCAAATGAGAGGCATATTAAACCCACTTAACATTTGGAATGTCATTCAGTGTTTTCCCTTATCTTTAGAGTAAATTACTGATGCTACTGTTATTTATGTAAAACAGCATTTGCATTTTAAAATTTCATCTGTGTTTCATGTAAATTTTCAGTTGTATAGACTAGAACAATGCCACATTTTCTCCTATTGACAACTTTCAAAATTATTTTTATATGCTCAGTGATTGACATTTTGAAATAATGTATTACTGATAATTATTTATGTTAATTATCTACAAATGAATCTAAAAGTGGACTTCTGTGTATAGGTTAGCATACGAAATATGCTAATTAGGCAGTTGACTACATATTCTGCAATGGATGCATCTTAGAATTTAGGTATGTAATTGCTGTTCTGATAATGATCAGTATTAATTAGTTATAACCTGATCATTTGAGTAAAGTGCAAGTGGTGGTTAATTGATAAACTTGAGGAGGGAGTAAATGCATATGGAATCACTCAAGATCTGAATATGACTCAAAGGGTTATATCAAGGACTTGAAATTACATTTTTAGTAGTAAATCAGTTAGCACACGGCCCAGTGCGGGTTAGAAAACAGCAAATGAAGATCATTTCTGATTCAGCTCAAAACTATAGTGAAGTGACTGCCAGAGAGCTGATTTTTGACGTTCAGGTTGAAACAAGAATTCAAATCAGCCATTTTACTGTTGCACGAAAATTTTGTAGCACTGGACTTATTCAATAAAACCAATGGTTTGTGTCCTATGCACTTCACTTTTCAAAGTAGCTTATTTAGGATAACATCATCCTGTTCAGTGGAAGTAAGATTGAGACTGCATATTATTTACAGGCAAGTCCAGATATACTCTGAATTGTGATTCTAGACATATTTTCATATGAAGAAAAAGAGGAACACCTTCCCTTAAGTCACTTTCTCTTGTTCGTGAAAGATTCCATTTTTACAGAAGCGATTTCATGGTTTGAGGTGGAACTATTAAATAAGGCTGCACCCAGCTGCATATCTTTGATACAGGTCCTGTATCCTAGTACAGATATATAAGCGAGGCCTTGGACTTCACATAAGGCTGTTTATATTACTGTTGCCCCAAACGTTTTCCTAATGAATAACATCGTCAGGTATCTTTGGCATCAAATACATAATGACAGATGACATCATTTGAATGAATTTGCAAGCTTATTCCTCAATTAAACATGTGTGGGAGTCTTAACCAGCTGAGCTGCAGCATGCCAAATGCGTCCTCAGACTAATCAGACCTATAAAGTGAACTTTCAGATGAGTGGCATGCAGTTTGAAAACTTTGATCAACAGCTTGATCAATTCTTTGAAATCAAGGTGCAAGGTTTGCATTTTTGTCAAAGATGGCCATACACAATATTAAAGAAAGATTGTTGCAAAACCCTAAAGAATTTTTCTATCAGTTTTAAATGCCCATAAATTTGATGTTTTCCTAATGAATAACATCATGAGGTATTTTTGGCATCAAAATACAATAACTTTAAATTTTACATTTTGAGTTTAACCTTTTGGCAAAAATGGTAATTTATTTTAAATAATGCTTTTGTGCAAAATGTTTTTAATTATTTTCTAATATGTAACAATTAAATTTTATTTCTATGAATATCCTTTGATTTTGTGTGTGTGTCAAAATGTTGCAGGGAAATTTAAGGAAAGTACACAGAAGTTGGAAAATATCAACTTCCAGGTATGATCTCACAGTGTTCAAGCTAACCCTGAGTCAGTAGAGCCCTTACATATAAGAAATTACAAAGGCTGTTTGTAACTTTTCCCCCTTTTTCAGAGCACTTTCACAACATCATTACATATCTGAAGTCAACCTAATGTTTCATCACCCAGTGCAAATCACCTTCATATTGTTCTGCATTATTCAAAGGCCTCTACTGACTTCAGATTTTAGAGAGATCATAATCTTCAACTCAAAAATTGTTATACTCTAGTTCAACCAAATGCACCTTAAACTTATCAGTAAATTTAGTAAGGATATTTATTTAACTATAATAGTGATTACATGAATAATTTAATTAGAAGCAGTCATCTCCTTGATTACTGATTGATATATAACAGATGCTTCAATATGATAGTCATTTTAAATTCTTAGCTACATAAAAGCAAAATGCAAATGTTTAAATGGACTAATAGGGTGATCAATGAAATTTCAGGAAACCAATACCAAGTTTTTAATAAACTTTTTAGAATGCAGAGCTGCTCACAGCAAGACAAAACATATAACTTTCTCTTGTCAGCAAAACTTATAGATATGATACCTAAATGCTTTTAATTTTCATAGCAAAATATAAAATCATGAGGCACTGAAAAAATAAGTGTTTAATCTCACTTTGATGTTCGATAACTGTAAATGAGCAGATTTCCTTTCATCGTACCAATAGCAAGCAAGGGTGAACTTTTTGACCATACTGCTAATGTTAATGGATCACTGAAAAGAATGCCAAAATAATTTTGGTTAAATAAACAAAATAGGGAAAAAAGAAATACAGCTAGCTTTTAACACAGTATGCTTAATAATAACTAATTAATCATTTAATACAGTTTACTTACTAATATTTCTGCATACTTAAAAGATATAAAAGTAACACTTTTTATGGATTTTATAAATTAAAATGACATTAATTTTGTAACTCTTGTTTATACCTTATTATTTCAAAGACCTTCAAAATTCTGTTTTATTCAAAACTACGTAGATTTGAAACACATCAGTTCTTACTTTATTACTGCTGTAACTTTTTTAAGTATTTGATTCTATTTTATTCTTTTGTTGCTTCAGAGCATAATTGTAGAGTTAACTGTTGTATTTAAGGCAATAATTTTAAAGTGTATTCTTGTGTTGTTGGATTTGTAACCCTGCATTTTGAATAAAAGAGCTTATTTCTAGTACAGAACTGTAAACCTTATGATTAAGAATCTAGATACATTTGAATTGTGAAACCAGCTCAAGTAGAAGCCAAGATACAGGCTGTAACATTTCTGACAGGTCTCACAAAAAATTTTTGTCACCAAGTTGGCTATATTTGGAGATTTCTTGGCAACTTTCCGGGAATGTCAGGTAAGCACATTTTTAAGCTTTATAAGTCATTTTCCCTAAAGTTCCCAGAAGATGTGGCAATACATTATGTCTCCAAAAGACAGTAGTCAGTCAATTCTGCAAGATTTACGAGAGACTGCGGCTCATAGTTAGTTGAATTGCTTTTTAGAACTGTGAGTGATATTGGTATTGGTAATTTATGCTATTTCTTGCACATTAAGGGGAATTTGCCTAATCTCTGCGTTCCTTTAAGTTAATTTGGTACATTCTTTGATTAACAGTGAAACTGATTTTTTCAGTGTTTAACTGATTATGACAAAGCATTATTATCTGCACAGTTATCTGCCCACAGGAAGAGATTACTCTGTGATAGAATTTTTCAGGAAAACTGGTCTGTATTGCAGTGTTGGGAGGGTGACTGGTGTAGCCACTGTGTTGAGTGGCAACAGGTAGCACATCTAACTCCTTATAATGCTTGGGTATGTTGTGAGGTTGTGTGATACTTATTGCATTATTGAACACAAAACAAATTTATTACAATTACGAGCTCTTTGCAAATATATATATAATTCATTGATAGTATAGACAGTAATTGAATAGACTTATAGTCTTTGTAGCGTGAGGAGCCTGTTAATGAGGGTCTCTCTAGTCAAGAGCTTAAAAGCATTATAGGTCTCTCTAGTCCAGAGTTCAGGAGCAGTCTGCTGTGTTGTACTAATGAAAAAAATCTTCAGACTGATATTGCCATGCCTCCTTAATTTTTCTGTTATATTTAACATCTTCTGATTTGCTATATCTGGAAAGATATCAAAAGGGAAAACAAAATCATTGGTTCGTCAACTCTCCAGAAATCAAGCTTTTAAATTTCTGGTTTTCCTTTTGGGAGGCTGGGGCTTGTCATGAGATGCTCCAACAGCTCGTCTCTAGTTTCAAGTGAGAAAATTGTCCATATGTTTGCCATGAGTCGAGACCTGTATCATTGGAAAGGAGAGTCCCTCAACTCACTGCTTTGGCCTTTGCTTCATGAAAACAACATAGTTGTCCTCACTGTTGTTGATGGCTTAAGGATAAGCTTTCAGGAAAGCTTGACTGTGGATATTCTGGCACTAAACTTTAAAGGTTATACGTGCCGAACAACATGTCAGGCACTTAAAACACAGCTGACAGATAAAACAAGACATATATACAAATAGACAGACAAGGTTAAAATTACATGGACTGCATGACATCCAAAACTGATGAAATGATCAATGCTCAGATGAAGTTGCCTATACCTGATGATATTAAATGTAAGTGTGAAATTCTAAAACATGAAATAATTTAAAATATATTTCATTAAAATGCCAAGGTGTAACAGCAAAATCAAAATCAAATTAAATTATAAAGACCTGCCTCTTTCAGGTAGTCAAATAAATTTGTATTGGCCTCTTTCTTGATTACAAGGTCCAGAGGCAAGTCAGAGTCATTAAAATATTTCAACCGAAGTCTGTTAAAATGTGTACATTCAATTAAAAATTGGTGAACAGTTAAAACATCATTACAATTTGAAAATACAGGTTGAATCTCGGCTTTCAATAGATAACCATGTGTTGCTCGAGTGTGACCGATACAAAGGCAGGTTAAAATTACCTCCTCCCTCCAGTTTCTATTTGTCTCCCAGTACTCTAACTTAGGTTTGACACTTCTCTATTTATTCAAAACCTGATCGTCCCAGAATAACTGCCATTTAGTTGAGATTCTTTGCTTGATGGCCATTTTGATATCATTAAAAGGAACAAGCGGATTCAACAAAGCAATTGCAGATTTTGCAGCTGTGTCTGCCAGCTCGTTACCTTTTATGCCTACGTGTCCAGGGACCCAGCAGTAAAGAATATCATACCCTTGGCTCTTTAGTTTTTTATGTATTATAAGAATGTCTACTAGCAGAGGATTTCAAGTGTCAGAAAATTTACTTAAAGCTTTTAGAGCACTTAAAGAGTCTGTATGAATTATGAACTTTTTCTGGATTTGTTTAGAGATGAATGTAAGAGCGATATACACAGCAGTTAATTCAGCAGTAAAAACAGAACATGCACCTTGCAATTGCTTTCAGTGTGGTTTTGAGTTACAAACGACTGTTGTAGTGAACAAAGTCTCTGCAAAATAGATAGCCTGAATTTTTCCAGCAATTCAAAGACAGCAAAATGTCAGTGAAATTCAGAAATAGTAATGTGGGTTTATGAAGTCTTATCACACCTCTTACAATGCTGATTCAATTTTAAGTGATTGTTATCTGTTCTCAAAACTAAAATCTGACCTTCATGGCAAGAGTGGTGGTGGTGGTGTATAAAGAGCAATTAGGGAATATTTTGAAGATAAAGCTTCCAATTACTTTTTCAAGGGCACAGAGTAGCTCATTAAATGATGTGAAAAATATTTCATGGTACAAGGAGATCCCACTGAAAAATAAACTCAAAATTTTCTTTATTTTGTGTAGAAGTATATCAAACTGTAAACCTTAGGATATACATGTGTACAAAGTATCAGCAAAACATATTCAGATTTCAGTGATAAAATACATACTGGGCTGTGATTATATTTATTTAGAATTAAGAAAAATGGAAAAAAAATAGTAGCAGTATAAAGAATTTCTTATTACCGCAGACCAGAATCCACATGAGAAACTGTCCTAGTATTTGAGTCCCATAGAATTAATGTATTTGAATGCTCAGATATAATGCTAAGAATTGTGCCTTCTTTATCCCAAGATATACCACAGCAAATTCTAAGGCAGAAAACACAAAATTATACAGTTTATTATTAACAACATAAAAGTCATAAATTCAACATGTGTTAGCAAAGTCATTTTAAGGAGATAGAACACAATTTTACACAAAAAAATAAAAACAACTTCCACTTATTACACACTGAACACACTTATTTTCACTATGAATTTAAAATGCTATTTGTAAAATTAATGATGAAATGTAAGAACAGCTTGAAATACTGGTATTATAGCTCCCAAAGAAAATACTGAAACAGACTTCATATGCTTAGAAAGAATTGAATAGCTGTCGTTTTCAAAATTACTTGAATAAAATTACACAATTATGCTCATGTAAATTATAATATAACATGACATTATTACAGAAACCGATTCATTAAATTTCAATAACAAGAAAAGAATATTTAGTGATTTTATCTATATAGAAATGCCTTTTGATAGCAATAGTGACTTAACCTCTTTGTATGTCTTAAGAAAATTAATCTAATGAACCACAGTTTACAGCACTGCTCGTCAAAATTAAAGGATAACCTGAAAAAAGTATGTTCCTGATTAAAGTTTTCAATCAAAGTCCAATAGTGTAATTATTTATAACTACTTGCAACTGAATGCAAAATTGAACTTTTGTGCAATACATGAAATACACACATTAGGCAAGTGTCAATGTGTTGTGCAAGGGATGCATGATGAAATTTGGTTGGTACTGTTGTTTAAAATTTATGTTTTCTGAAAGTGATCAGTATTCATCAGTTATGATTCAAAAGCATCACTTACTGAAGGTCAAAAGTGGTAGTTCATTGGTAGACTTTATGCTGACAAACACTTAAGATACAAATATTTCTCAAACTATCAAATCAAGAACTTGGAGCTGCTTTTCAGGCAAAAACCAGTTAGCAGAATGCCTGGTCAAGAGTTGTCAAAAGCAACAACTGCATTCAAAATCATTCTCAACAAACTAGCATTGGGAGAAATATTTAACGGAGCTACAAGCAATGAGACCACGTACTGTTTACTGACCAATTCAGACATACGTAGCCTGTAGACATACAGTTAACCGGAAGAAGTTAGACACTTGCAGTTTGTACATAGGAAAAACTTCACTCATAATGTCAAATGCTTCAATCACCATTTACTTATTTTATTATACAAGATTAAATGGAATTATCTTAATTTAAAAATTCAGTTCCTGCTTTAAAATATGAAAATATCAAGAACTTCAGTTTGAAAAAAATTAAATATTTGTGCACGCAGTAAAAGTGCAGCACTTTACTATTTTCAATACATTTTTTAAAAGTTAAGCCTCTTTTATGTGAACAGTTTGATAAAATACAAAAATGCAGAGTAAGGGTGTAGAGTCCAGGTGGGTGAACTTCTATCTGAAAACTGGAGTAGCAGGAAACTACACAGGAGAAGGGTTGAAGTACCCTTTATTAAATCTTTGAAAATTTACAATGTGTCAACTCGATGCTAACAAACTTCGCCTCTACTTGGGCGGTAACTGAAAGTCAGATAATTGAAACTAAATGTTGAAATATTAACAAGTAATAGAACTAGCCTAAAGGGCTCAGCGAGATCCCGTAACTTAAACCCTCTTTGAAGCTAGTGACAGCAGATAAATGTAATACAGCCACTTGAACCAGGAATAAGCAAACGTACCTACGGCAAAGACGGTGGCTAGAGCCTAACTCTTCCTTTCTCCTACCGAAACTCGGCTTTTAAATACGTTCTACAAAGTAGAAAATTTGCATTCCGTCAAGCGCGCTACAACATTTAACTATTCTGTCACTAGCAATTAGGGAAAAGAAGGCTTATAGAAAAGTCTGAACTAAAAATTTAAATTGTTAGTTAAAATAAATATAAATCCCTATAGTGGTACTGTTAATACTTTGTTACTACTTTTACATGTATATTTCCTTCAAAGTACGATTAAATTCCTCCATAAATGCAATTACAAGTAAAACAATATCTAATGCAAAATTATGATTTAGGTCAGGCTACATCAATTTTCTCTTAATCAATAACGAGTTGGAAAATAAAAAATAACTGCCACTAATTTTCCAGTAAATACAACTCACATGTGGAAAAAATCAACTAAAATTATTTTTGAGCTTTTCCTACATCATTAAAAAAAATTTTACACCTCCTATTATTAAAATTTTTACATTAAAAGAACAGTAGTAAAACTTGAATACATAACAGTTTAAGCAGATTTCTCATTTGTCTAATGCAACTACTTCATTATTTAGGGTGCTGTGTATGGTTTAAATGCTAGATATTCTAGCATTATTTTTCTCCGTATTAGTTCAAATATTTGTTCTATAGAACATTGCAATAAAATCTAGATGCCTGAAATTTGAAAAGTATACCATTAATCTTTAAAAGGAAGATATAATATTCAATTACATACATATTTGCATTAAAATATGAACATTTAATTATTACTGCAGACAATATGTCAATTGTTGGCAGAGAAAGTTGCAGTATTATCACAAACTTCAGTAGAATATACTGTTATGAATATTGTTTTTCCCCCATAATAAAACATGCGGAGAGTCCCGATTCTTAATTTCCCTACGGCATTAAATAAAATACCTTGTTACTGAGGAAACAATCATTTTATGCATAAATTTGTGTGATCGTTAATTTGACTCCCTAGCTGCGTATCTGCTTGGCATACGTCTCAAACTGAAACATTCTACATAGAAACATCGTTGATTTTACACCTACTAATATTTTGTATCTCTAACGCCAGTCTGGCGAATTATTATTTATTATATTTTGCTTTCCATCACTGCATGTTTATCAACACATGACAACTTGAGTAATGACTCATCCAGCAATGCTCAGACAATTTTTTTATATTAGTTTTTAATAACAAAGAGCATGGTAACTTTTTATGTTGACATTACACTTGGCAATGATTACAGATTTAAGTTAAATGTACTAAGAAATGTTGGCGAGGAAAAATTTAACAAATATTTCTTTCCATATGCTAAAAATAAGTTTTTGTTAATGATAGTCCTAGGCCAAAAGATTATACTTAGTGCTATTTGAATTAAGAATAACTAATTCGTTTTTTACATAAACACAGAACTGGCGCCAGAGCTTGCATGGCCGCACTGGGGACAGAATTTAGGGAAGACAAAATTTTTGGAATTTTAGAGAAATGTCGAGCAACAAAATTAAGAGATGGAAAATTTTTCGAATTTAGGACAAGATATGGGTTACAAAACTTAGGGGCGGCAAAAATTTAGAACTTCAGAAAGCACTTTCGAGCCAAATTTAGGTTCCACAGAGACTGCATCAGGCAGTAAGATATTTAGCGGCAGCCTTCAATAAGCTTTAGTATAAGTAGATAAGCTTTAAATATATGTAGACTTAAGCATGTGGAAGAAACAGACAAAATAATAAAAAACCAAACTAATACAATTCAGGCTTAATTGTCTTCAGTGCGTGATAGAAGCAAAGCAGTATTTAGTGCAGCAACTTGTCTTTTGTCGCCAATCTCGTGACACATAGCCAATAATGCATAGCAGCGCTTTAATCTATGCTAAAGTTATATTTTCGATTCCAAGGAATTTCAGTCAATATAGCAGGTTGTGCTATTCCTTAACTTTATGATTTGACCCAGCTCATTATTTTTCCCAGCCTGTTTTTATTACAGCAATTTTATAAAAATTAAAGTTTGAACTTTCAATTATGTCGAAAAGAGTTTCTAATTCTGATGCTGCAACAGGATCTACAAAGCGAAAGCATGTTTCGATGTCTAATAAACAAAAAGTGGAACTGCTGCAAAAAATAGATAAAGGTATATCCGTCTCAAAATTATGTAGAAGTAAGGCACTGAAAAGTCAACTGTATATGACATAAAAAAACAGAAAAAGGAACTTTCTGAATTTTTTTGTGGATTCTGACATCCCTCTCACAATGAATAACAGAAAAATTATTTGACATGCTAAAAGTGAAGATGATAACAAAATGACGAATGAATGGGTCAGACACTCGCAGCGAGGGCATGCCATTGACGGGTCCAATGCTAATGGCAAAAGTTAAAATATTTCACTAGGAAATGAACTTAACAACTGAGTGCACATACTCGACAGGATGACCAAATTTAAAAATCGCTATGGTATAAGATAATTAAGAATTGCAGGTCAAAACGCTTCAGCTGATACTGAAGCTGCTGAACTATTTACAGATGAATTCATTAATAGTGTAAAGTTATCTCTATAACAAATTTACAATGCTGATGAAACTGGTTTTTTCTGGCAATGTGTCCCACGGCAACCTCTACAGAAAAGGCTCCAATTGGAGTCAAAGATTCCAAAGTGAGACTAACAATTTTAGCACGCGCAAATGCTGCAGGAAAGCGCAAGTGTAAACGTTTTGTAATAGTAAAAAGTAATAGGCAAGTGTAAACGTTTACCTGATGACGTAAAAATTGTCCTGATTGTACATAACTGTTTGCTTCATATTTCACTTAAGGTTTCAGTGAAAGGTAATGTATCCGTATTATTTTTCCCTCCAAACTGTAACTACATCATTGAGCCTATGGATATTGGAATAGTGCATGAGCTGAAATGCACATTTTTTAAATACATGTTAAATTTCTTGAATAATGGCAAGACTATTCAAGAATTTTTTAAAATATTTTAGCATAAAATCTGCTGTGTGGAGCATCGCAAGATCGTGGGAGGATGTGCCTCCAGATACTTTAAAAAATGCTTGGCATAATTTATGGCCATCTACTATATTTCATGTTGAGGATGATGATAGCTGCAAATCTGAAGGTTTTCGGATATCACAAACCACAGGCGAAATTTTCCAACGATGGATTTTGTAAAAAAAAATGTGGAGAAGGGGTAATAAATGAAGATATAAGAGAAGTTTTTCATTGCGATGACAATGCTCCAATCATCATTCAATTAATGGATGGCAAAATATGTAGTATACTTCTAGATTCAGAAAATACTGTTACCAATATTGAAGAAAGGGACAGA